GTAGAAAGCCTCATCTTTCTCCCGCGGAGCGGCTGGTAGTTTCGAACCGCTGACCTTAAGGTTCGCAGCCCGATTCGTAACCACTACGCTACCAGAGTTCCTTATCCCAGGCAGAGTTAGCACTCAACAAATACTGAATGAACAGTTGTCAGGCCTGACACCTAAACTACAACCATGCTGCAATGACTAAGGTAAGCTCTGAGAGCACTTATGTTCTAGTAAGGAAGACAAGACACTTAAGAAAAAATAATAAATGAAAGAACTTCAAACATTGCTAATGGCTATGAGGATAATGGAACAGGGCGAAGCGAAGGCTTCTGAAGGGAGGTGGAGAGGAAAGACACCCTGGGTGGCATTTAAGCTGGGTCAGAATGATGAGTGAAGGCAGCCATGTGAAGCAGTTCAGGCAGCGGGAATGAAAAGTTCAAAGACCCCTAGGCAGGGCAAAATTTTTCCAGAAAAAGAGAGCAGACTGATTACGGCTGAAGCTCCGTGAGCAATGGGCGACGGGAATGAGATGCGGTAGAAGAGGCCAGCAGCAGCGGGTACACTTCAGATTTTGGTCTATTTGGCGACTGCTGAATCTCCAGCATGCAAAAAGAGTGCATGGCATGTACTAGACGCTCAAAACGATCTGTAGAGTGACTATGTAAGTCTCTTGACTCTGGAGCTCCTCGTTTAACCCGGAGATCGCCGCCCCACACTCCCCAGGAAAGGGGTCTAGTTTCCATACAAAGACTCCAGAAGCCTAAGCCTGTGTATCTGTGGTGAAATAAACCCAAACGTGCCAAAGGGAGCTGAAAGGACTCAAGAGGCAGCCAGTGCGTACCCTTTCTAGGCTAACCGGGGCTTCGATGTCGCCTCCCGACGGCCGTGTGCAGGAGCCGGGCCCCTGAGCAACCGTGTTTACCACGTTGGGGCCCGGGAGAATGGAGCTCCCCGATGGGCCATCCCCCAGACCCGGGGCCCCCGTCGCCGACTCCAGGATCCCGTGAGCACCCCCGTAGAAGAAAGCCCAGCAAAGCCCGGCACCAACGCTCGCCCGCGCGAACGCTCACCCGCACTTACCTTGCCTCGTTGAGACAGTACGGTTGACCCGGTGACAGTGACTTCCGGCTCCCGAAGGAAGCGGAAACCCCTCGCCTCCTCTCAGGTCCCACCCACCCCAGCCGGCCCCGCCCCACGAGCCGACCCCGCCTCTTTGAGCACATTTTGCTTCTGCGTATTCTCACTCTGGGCTTGGTGGCTAGGTCTTTGTGTTCGTCCCTTAACTGTCGTGGTCGTTACGGCCACTGTTTCCAGTCAGTCCTCAAGAATGACTGTTTCTTCGTTTCTGAAGCGGGAACCTGGCTGTTCCAGAGCTGGAAATGTGACTTCATTGTCGGCCTCACTTTCCAGGGTCGTCTCATTTGTCCTCTCCACAGACCCTCACAGCGTTTCCTCTCTCCCCTCTCCAACCCTCACCTCGGACACAATATATTCAGATATCCCAGTGCTGAGGAATAGAAAATACCCAGATGGCTAACTCAGTGAGGCGGAAGCTTCAGCTGAGAGGCTGCGTGTACTAGCTCTCAGATGACCCACGTCCATACAGCTCTCTCTCGG